TTTTTTTTTTTCTAAAATGATGGTGCATTTTAGCAAACACTGCATTTTTTATAGAGTGTTAAGTTGTGCAGATCACTATGCAGTTGTCTTGGGTTGTTTAAAATTAACTCGACTCATCCTTTTCCTGAAATTATTAAGGTCTGGCCAGGTAGGTGACAGGACTGAGCTTCCAAGGTGGTGATCTGCAGGGTATTAAATGGAGGGGGGAACAATATTTGAAGCATGTGTAAGAATTCTCATCCTATTTAAATTTAGAGCAAACAAATCATACTTTCTCAGTGCAGTTCTGGAAGAACCACTGATTAATGTTAGTTTACAAAGTGTGATGTGCCCGTACCTGAGCCCTGTTTGAAGTGATCTCCCCTTCAGACAAGGTTGCACACAGATTAAAATCACACTCAAGCATGAAACCACTGTTTTAAATCTCGTTTAATAATCAGATCACAAACTGAGTTGCTGAAATCCTTGTGCAAGCTTTAATTTTAGAGCAGTTTGATATTTCATTTTAACTCTCTTCAAGCCTTAAATACTTACATATTTTTACAGTGGTTAGCTTTAGGTGATTTTGCTAATGAAATGTAAAGGGTATGAACAGGGGGCTTATCCCTTTTTAAGGGTAACAAATCCAAGTATTAAGAAGATGCTTGGAGAAGCAGTGGAAGTCAAAGAGCAAACACAGTTAGGCAGGTTTTTGTTTTATCATATGCCTTAGCATTGCACTGTTGGAAGAAGCAGTGATTCTAATAGTTGAGGCAAAGTGAAGGGTGAATAATAAATTACTCTTGCTTTTGTCCTTAATATGGGGTATTAATAATGTATTTGTGAGGGATTTCAGTTGCTCTCTATCCTGATTTCTCTGGTCAAATGATGTTATTCTTACTTTTCCCCCACATAGTGGATATTCTCCCACTCACATTAGGCTGGCTAGCTGAAATGATTAGTTTGTTCTTTAAAAGGCTGGAAGTGTATATACTTCAGCTTCTCATTCTAAGGTAAATATTTGAAGAGTCTTTCTTGCTCTGCATGTTTATAGTACAGAGCTGTTTGGCATTGAAATGTCACAAAAAGCATTTTTCAGTAACATTGTTCTCAACCTTGGAAAAATGATCAGTTAAAACATTGAACATGCTGATCTATTTTTGCTGGAGTTGAATTTATATTTGTTCCCTTCTTTACTAACGAGAGTTGTGTTCTGCTGGGAGCAATCTCACGAGTACAGGGTGTCACTTTTAGTAACTGTAATAATCACAAGAATAAGGCCTTTAAAATATAGTAACTGATAATATCCTGCACTGAATATTAAAATGTTTCCTAAGTGTCCTTGAGAGTGGATAAAGGCTTGAATATTGATGGACATAACTCACTTTCCTGAGGAATAAGAAGGGACAAACACGAGAGCAAATTACTCCCCTGCTTGCAGCTGTGTGTGTGCTGAGTCAAAACTGCCAGGAGACAAGATCCGAAACAAGCTCCTTGTAAGATGAAAAATCAGTGGCACCTGTATGGTCTTGGAAAAGGTTCCAGGAAATGGCAGAATTCCTGCTCAGCTCCCAGTAAAGAATGAGTGACAAATCCTGATTCCCTGAGGGTGAGTGTGGCTTCCTTTCTGTGTCATGTCAGGTGGTGTTCCTATAACCTGAGCCCCTTATCCATTTCCTTCATCGAGTGAGTTGGCAGCTTTTCCAGATAAGTAGGGTCTGGTTTGGAGCTCACAGTAACATATTTAGAAAACAAGATTGAAGTGCATTAGTCCTACCATGGTAACAATGAAAAACAGGGTAAAATAACAGTAATGTCAGCAGACATAAGTGAACCCAAGTTGAAATGTGTTTCTGAAAATCTTTCCTGTGCTGCATCCTCTGCAAGCACTAAGGGAAAACTAACTAATGAATGGAGGCTACTCTGCAGAAAGCCATGCAAGGATAGAATGGTGGCAGCCATTCTGAAAGCTGAAATCCTGGTTAGTGCACTAAAATCAGCAAAAAGACTCTTAAATCCTCAAACATTTCTGTTTATACACCCACAGATTTCTATTCCCAGTAAAGCCCGTTGTAGAGCTGTCAAGGACATACTCTCTCTAATTTGCTTTAAATAGGGGAAGATTATCATCGAGTTATTAAAAATAGTTGAGCTAAAGAGCATGGATAAACTTTTGCTGACAACAGAGAGGACCATTTCTTACAAATACAGTTCTCTAAATTCTTTTTCACCTTTCTGCTAAATACAGCATTAACTGGGTCTGCAGGGGGTTGCTTGTTCTTTAGCTTTGTGTACTGAGATAGGAGTCTGATTCTCAGAGATGTCTCACATTTCACTTGTGGGTGAGTTGGGATGCTGTGATGAGGTTTCTCGTAGACAAGCAGCACTTTTTGACCTCTAAACATATAATTTTCCATAGTTTGTGTAGCTTAATGTTAATTGTTTCCTGCTGTGGTGCAGCAGTTTCTAAGAGTGGGAAATAGAAACTCTCAATTCCAAAATTGAGGATTAGATTCTTATCAGTGCCATGGATTCAAATAAGTCTGTTAAATTCAGTGCTTGTTGCCCAGGCAGTGAAGTGGAGGAATTTGTCATCTCTTAGTGTTTGTGATCAGTGTTTGTGACCTGTTGCTCTCCATCTGTCTGCATGGGGAAGTACATTACAAGATGAAAAATTTGCAGTCATGCAGAATCTTCCATTTGATAACACTGCTGTGAACTTCTGACATACTAGAAAGCAGACTGGAACTTTTTCTTTTTAGAGGCTTTTACAGAGGAGTTGCTTTTCCGTTTCGGTTTTGAATTTGAAGTGATCTGATCAAAGCTGGTAGTGCCTGCAGTAAAGTAAAACCTTTTTTACATCAACCACTTTCAAGTTATTTATTCCCTTTGTGCCTGTGGTGCAAAACTGACTGTGAAACTGTCATTGGGAGCTGCTAAAAAGATTAAAACCAACCTGCAGTATTTTTGGAAATGTCACTGGGATTGCAGGCATCTTAATGTAAAATATGGTAAAACTGAGAGACTTGTTTAATAAGCCAAAAAAATTAACTGACCTGCAGATAGAATGTTTTCCCTAAAACATTTTCTGTAGGACAGGTTAATTTTCTCACTTCAATTGGCAGCTTTTCAGCTGCTTCTTTTAATGCAGTACTGAAGGGAAATGAGATGTTTGGATCACTGAAATTTCTGGCACTGTTGAACTTTCTGCTATTTTCGAATACTTTCCTAATTATCATCCCTTTCACAATAACCTTGAGTGACGTAAAGGACTGTGGCACCAAAGTGAGTGTTGGAAGAGGCTCAGGAGGGGATGTGGGGTGGGAGTCTGTGCTCTGCATGGATGTGCTCTGTGGGATCTAGAACGTACAACAGTCAGTTCCTGACCCATTTATCCTTCCCAAGGAAATGTAGAACAGTCCTCCTGGATGTCAGGTGGTGTTGTAACTCCTGGCAGCTGCAGCTACACTTTGTACTTGCTCTGTACTCGCTCTGTTTGCTCTCACCAAAATGACAGGGGTGCCCTAAGTTCTCGCTCTTCTTCCTTTTCCTTCCTTTTCCCCCTCTGCTGGGCGCCTGCCGTACTGCACCGTTTATAATACGCTAATTTTAGAGCTGGTATCTGTTGCTGTTTTCTGGCAGTTTTTGTCCTTGTCTTGGAAGCCAACATTAGTTTTAATAGTGGAACCTGTGTTCTCGGCAGTACTTCTCCAGAGATCTTCCAGGTTCCAGGGAGGGATGTTTTCTGTAGTCTTTTCCATCCAGTGGAGAGCTTTATTTTTCCAAAACTTCTCATACTTGTACAGTAGAAAAGATTTTACTTGTTAGGAAACTGCCCAGACTGGACACTGAAATTTAGGCTCCCAAGAAATTATTTTTAAGAACAGGAGCGTCTCTGCCTAAAAGAGGGTGGGAATATTTTGCCGTCTGGAAATACTGCAGCAGTTGTTCAGACACAAATAAAATACTACTTGAAACGGGCTGACATTTTTCCCCAGTTGATTAATCTTTAGCTTGTTTCACTGTCAGCTCCAGACTGTTGTTTCTGAGAGGTTATTTTTTATGCTTTGAAAGAACAAATGTGCCTGTACAGGACTATTGAGCTGCTCTTTTGACTTTATGACCAAGCTGTCAATTAGTATCGTACTGTCTGGTCTCTGCAAGCTGCCTTGTTTTGATCCAAAGCAGAGAAAAGAAACTGTAAACAAAAACAGATTTTTCATAGTATATTATTTTTGCCTTTCTTAGAGGGCCTGAGTAATTTGAAGACTCAGAGAAACCTTTTAAGAAGTCATTAGACTAAACATCCTGCATTTCTGTGCCAGCTCTTTCATTGTGGACGAGAAAATCTTTGCACTAAAAATACAGATTCCTCAAACCAACATGCAGTTCTGCATATTCAATTCTTCTGAAGCCAAACCCACTTTATTTCCCAGCTTTTCAGGATACACAGGTCAATGTTAGAAGGAATTGAACACACTCATTTCTTCTGTGCCAGTTCCTTGTTGGACACAGTGGTGACAATGTCACTGGCAGGCAGAGCTGAACCAAACTGTCCTACTGAGTTTGGGAACTGCAGCAGAGCACCATTTCATCTTGTCACGGATTTCTAGAAGCAGGTGACTAAAACAGCATGAGGATTATACCAGTTCAACGAAAATGTATTGAAGAAACTTAGAAAACCGGTGTCTGAAACAGTTTTCAGATCCTCATTTAATCTTTAGCAAAAATTAATGCATATGCTTTATTCATGAGCTTTAGTGACTCAGTGCATTACATAGTCTGTATAATATTTTGTACTTTTTAATTTATGGATGTGAAATACAGGGTTCAGTTTTAGCAATTTCTAACATGACCAAAATCATGGAAAATCAGATTTTTGGCTTCTCGTAAAACTAAATACAAATATATTGTATTATCTCAAAAACAAAGGTGGCTGGTAAAATTTAAGATTAGGGGGAAATCAGTTTTACATTTATAATTCAGCGAGCTTATCACTTAATTCTAAAAATTTCTGTTCTTTATAGCTTCTGGATATTTGGCATTTTGAGTGACTTGCTTGTTGCTCAGGAGTCTTTGGAAAATTACTGTATGGATGAAAAAAATGACTGTGTAGATGAAAAGCCTCATGCGTGCTAAACTGCTGTGACAAAGATTTAACTTCCATTTTTATGCTTCATTACTTCGGATATTTTAATGGAAGCCATGAAGTGCAGTGGTAATTCCAGTGCCGGCGTGGAATGTCAGTGGTGGGCAGGGAAGAATAAAGGAGCACGTATTGCTTGAGAGATAACAGTGTTAAAGCCACGACTTTTGACCTACAACCATGTCACTGTCAGTATATGTTGTAATTTGAACTAAGGTTTAATTTGGAAGCTTGTTTGAGGACGGGTTGGGTGGTTTAGGGTGTTGTGGTTCTGTAGGGCAGCTGGGGTGCCTGGGGTCTCTGGGAGTCGGGGAAGAACTGTTTTAGCAGTAACACTGTAGGGTTGGTAGGGTTTGTATCTGACACGTGATTTTATGTATGGATATTGCACAGCAGTTATTTTATTCATGGTCTGGGTAAGATCCACACTGACTGAACAATGATTTCTGCTCCTGATCAGGGGCTTGCGTAGAAGTCGGAAGCTTCTGTGCTAATGAGAAATTGGAACACAACTGTCTGTTCGTGCTGTTCCCAAAACATGCCCTGAGCACCCCCCGCCCTTCCTGCTGCAGTTCTCACTTGGCTCCACACAGCACAAGGCCCACAGTGGCAGTACAGGGATTTGAGTCATCTGCACCTTCCACATCTCTCACTGGGGTTAAACAGGCTGAAGTGGTAGCTGGCGAAGAGGTTATTTAGGAATTCAGGAAGATAATACTGCATAGGTATTTGGAAGGATTGTTGCTTGCTTTTTTTGCAACTAAAGATCAAACCTTTTTGGATGGGGCATAGATTCTTCAGTCTCAGTGCAATAGGAGTTGCTCACAGTAAGTCACCTTAACTGGGCAGCCTTACCAGTGTAGTGATTTTGTTTCTGGAGGTGTTGGCAGAGCATTTCCAGGCAGCTGAGGCTCAAGTTCTCAGCTCCTTTGGCTTTGATACAGCTAAACCAGTGGGTTATATCATGGACAATGACTGCTGCTCTTACTGCTTTTTTTCCCCTTCAGCTTTATCAGTGTTCCGTGTTGTCTCTGGTTTTGATGCCAAATAAAAATAATCTTCACCACTAATGGCATAGTCAGAAATGTTTTTGTTTAGTCTTATCCTAACCCTGATAAATGCTCTTGTGTGCCATCTGAGCCATAGTTGCTGCTGTAGAAATGTCCTTTGTATTTCTGGGCAACACAAAGGGGGGGGTGAAACTTGTTCAGGCCAGTCTGGTGTCCTTGTCCAGAGCAGGAAACTGATGTACATAAAAGGGAACCAACTGTTATAAATTGTTGCAGTGGGGGCGATTGAAGAGATAATGGAGGGGTGTGAAGGAGGGGAGTTGAGAGGGTGAAGTGGCTTGGGGCTGGGACACAGATCTGCTCACTTGTCTTACTGTGCTCAAAAGGCAGTGATAAGGAGAGATGTTTTGTCTTTGTGGTCCAAAACTGTTTCCTTAACTATAGTCATGGCCTTGCAGTCATGTGCTCCTTTATCTTCCACCTTTGCATCTACAGCGTAGAACGGGGCAGTCCAGGATTTATGGGCACTCTCTTGGGCCAGGTGCTGTGCTGGTTTAGGGGAGCTCACACATTTGAGCTGTGCTGTGGTGATCGAATGGCAGTCGCCCTTTTCTCAGGTTCAGACAGCTTTCAAGTGTGTAACTGCTTCGTTAAAGGAATAAAATATATATTATCACATTGTCCAAGCTGGGTTTATAGCTAAATAGAACTAAACTGTTGCTATTTAAAATGTGACATTGAAGGGGGGAAGTGTTGAGCCATGAATTCTGCTAAATGAAAGTAACACAGGCCTGGAAGAGAACACTCTCCCCTTTCCCTGCAGCATGGCCCTGTGTTTCACCTCAGCAGCCTCATCCTACCCTGGTACCTTCTCCTTCAGTGCTACACTGGCATTTAGTCAGGCTCTTAACATAACCCTGGGGATGTTGCTGCTCTTGATAACTGACTTCTGACTCCTTCTGACAGTGCGAGGATCAAAACCGGGCAAAAACGTGCAACTCCAAGAGAATGAAATTAGAGGACTGTGCTTGAAATCCAGAGAAATCTTTCTGAGTCAGCCTATTCTGCTAGAACTTGAAGCTCCCCTGAAAATCTGTGGTGAGTACTGTGATTTTTGGTTTGGTCTTTGGGCGTGTGTCAGGTCAATGCAGACCTTAGAGAACAAATACTGGATGCTACTTTCACTTACTAACAGTGGAACTAATAAGTAATTGTAGCAAAAGGGAAAATAAAACCTTGCTGAATACCTAGGGCAGAGGAATGGGGAGGAGGTAACATGTGGGAGTTGATGCAGGGACCAAAATATTCCAAACCCAGAAAGTAACTGGTCCAGTTTCACCAGGTCTTGGGGAAGGGATTCACAGGAAGTTTTGGAAAGGAGTTTCTGTATCCATTAAATGACGTTTGGCCCATTCTGAACAAGGGGAAACAGTGAGGAACTGCAGTAGTTTATTGTAGCTGCTGTACAGCGTTGACAATATTTTAAAATCCTGCTGCAAACTTAAATTTCTGTCCCGTTTCTTGGAATTACTTTCTAGTTTGGTTTCACCACACTTGCAGACAGCAGTGCTCATTTTGCACACACGTACATGTCTGCTTATGCTAAAAGAATGAAGAATGTCAACATAAAAGCCTCAGTAAATGCACTTTTGAAAGCTTCTAGCAAACAGTATTTTATCCTACTCTAACACTGAGGACTTACTTCAAATTGAAGCAGCTTGTTCAATATTTATAACATGGGTAGTCTAAAATCATGATTTAGCATTCTGCTTGTCAGAAACAAACCCATGATTTAAACTAAAGGCAGAAATACCAATTTCATTTTTGATGCAGCTTCACTGCTAGAATTTGAATTACTGTTTCCAGAAAACACAGTTGGTTTCTTGGAACCTTCATTTTGTTTTATACAAGGGAACATTTTTAAGTAGCTACCTGCTATTTCTTTGTGCTGTTAACCATTGCATTGCATAGATGTCAAACTTAAAATGAGATGATCTTACATATATTTACTGTAATTTTAAGTACATTATGGGCAGCATGTAACTGCAAGCTTTTTTCTTTCTGAAGCATCTATAATTTTCTCTGGAATAAATCAGAGAATGTAGTGAAGGGTCACTTCTGTGTGGTGTCTGAATCTCGTTGCAGGTGACATCCATGGACAATACTATGACTTGCTCCGACTCTTTGAATATGGAGGTTTTCCACCAGAAAGCAACTACCTGTTCCTTGGAGATTACGTTGACAGAGGAAAACAGTCTTTAGAAACAATTTGTCTTCTGTTGGCCTACAAAATCAAATACCCAGAGAATTTTTTCCTTCTCAGAGGGAACCATGAATGTGCCAGCATCAATAGAATTTATGGGTTTTATGATGAATGTGAGTAACAGAGGTGTTACAGTAACAGCCTCTCTGGCTGCAGACAGCAGGGGAGGAGGTGCCGGTGTTGCAGAGGTAGATGGTTCTTTCTGAATTTGCAGTGCCCCTTCTCATGTGCTCTGTAGAGGGGCCATTAATCCATTTTAGGAAGGGAAGTGTGTCCTTTCCCTGATCCTGTTGGGAGTCTGATCCTCACATACAAATCAGCAACCAACTGGGTAATTTTATTTATTGGCTGCTATGTTAACTAACAGTTCTCAGTGGTAAAATTCAGAAGATAAGGTCATCTAATGAGAGATGAGAGAATGTAACTTGATGTGCTATTCACAACAGTTCATCTTTTCTTTCAGTCTGAGGGGTGGTGTTGTATTCTTGTGAGGGCTGGTCTTGCTGTGGTTATGTTACAGTGCTTGACACCTATTTCCTATTAAGACCTGTAACACTGTAGTGTTAAAAAAGAACCCCCAGCCGTGGCCCTTCCCTGGATACAGCCCTGCTGTACCATGTGCTGTTGCTTTGGCCAAAACCAGTGTCCCCTTTCCTAAACGGGGCAGAGCTGTGCAGCCATCAGTGTGACAGTGCTTGGACTGAGCACCAGCTCCTTGGTGTGTCAGTAGGTGCCTTCAGCTGCAGGAGGTGTTACTTGGAGCAGTGTGTCAGCCTGGTGATGAAGGAAGTGCTGGTATTTCTTTGGCACCGTTGGGCTCCTTCTGAACACACACAGTGTGGCTGTGCCGTCACCGGCTCTGGCTCTGCCGAGGGGGTCTGATGGGGGCTGTACAGAGACATCACCAGAGCAGAACAAGCAATTTTGCTGTGAAATAGAAATGTATGTTCATGTTTCAAAGGATATGACTTAATCCAGATGATATAGAGGAGATGATACTGTTAAATTAATTGTGCGCTGAAGCACGTCACAACTTGTGTGGTGCGACATACTTGGCTTGCAGCTTACAAGATGTGCTCTCCATGTCTTGTTCTCCTCCAGTGAGGAAACAAAGATGTGTGTGGTATTTCAGAGATTAATCACAGGCTTAGTCATAGATCAAAAAATGTTCAGGGTTTGTATCTGTTGGGAGAGTCCTTTTGAAATTCGTAAAACTGTAGCAATTTCGTTTTTCAGTCCCTGTTTCGTTTTTCAGTCTCGTTTCTTTGCTGAGAGTGACTTTATATGGTAAAGCAGAATTTTAAAGAAAATCTGCTTTTCAAGAATTACTGTCTTCCCTTGAAGGAAACGGTAAGATTTTCTGAAATTCTCCAAGGGATAATTTTCCAAAGCAAAATTGGGACTGGAGAGCCTGGCTGCCAACAGGGGAATGCCATCCAGTTGAACAGACTTGTGCTGTTCTCAGAGCTCTGCCACAATGAGAGACCTTTGCAACTGTCTTTGAAGCAATGAAATAAGTCAGTGGGTGTCAGAAGATAAATTGTGTATAGGCTTTTGTGCTGACCTTTTGCAAGTCTCAGTAAACTTAAGGCAGCCATGTTAGATTGGTTGTGGTGTTAGAAAACATTGACTTTTTTCTCCCAAATCTCTTCTAGGTAAGAGAAGATACAATATTAAGCTGTGGAAAACCTTCACAGACTGTTTTAACTGTCTACCAATTGCAGCTATTGTGGATGAGAAAATATTCTGCTGTCATGGGGGTAAGTGGTGTCCTTAGGTGATACTTGAGGAACTGGATACTCAGTATCAGTCGTGGCATTTTCATGTTTACATTGCTGAAGCTTCAAAATTTCAGGGATTTTTCTCTTCCTTGGCCCCTGTAGGAGGAAGGGTTGGGCTTGATGAGTGTCAGTTTTGTGAATCACAGAGCTTGGCAATTTTGTAGCCTCGGACACAATGATCTGCTTTTCCTTTTCCACTAAAACACGTGTTTAATAGACTCTCCTTTAGAGTAAAATATCCTTGTAGGGGTTTGTAGACTTCTGACTAGGAGTTTGTTGTGAATCAGAGTGGTGTGGGATGGAAGGCACCTTTGAGGATCACTGAGTAGAACCCTCTGCCACGGGCAGGGATGTCTTTCACCACGTCAGGCTGCTCAAATTAAACCTGGCAGGTTTAATTTGTACAGATGGGCTTGTGCCTTGTGATACCTGCTCCGTGCAGCTTTTTGAGGGCTTAAAATACGTACTGCACCTTAAATGTTTTATCACTTGCCAGCCATTACAGTTGCCCAGGGACACACATCAGTGAAAAACGATGTGAGATTGGCTTGATACTGTATTTCATCTTACTAGGCCTGATCATCACAGTAAACATACCCTGTGATTTCTGGTGTAAATGCCTCTTTTACTTAACAGCTCTTTTATCAGACACTTGCACAATATTATTGAGATTATTGTAATCCTGTAAAACATGGAAATGGCTTTGCTTATCTTGCTTCCAGTAAATCTCCTAGGAAGTGACTTGTCTTCTGTTACAAATGCCTTCAAACAAACACTGGATTAAAAAAATGCCAGTTTAATGTCGCCGTTGAACTGCGTAAAATGGCAGCGGTGAATCACTTGGAATACGGAGTATTTTTGTCCTGAAGGAACACGTCAGTCCTGCAGAGCAGAGCTGGACTGACATGTGGACTGTGTGTGTGTGTCTTACCTCTGACAGGTTTGTCACCAGACCTGCAGTCGATGGAGCAGATCAGACGAATCATGCGGCCCACTGATGTACCAGACCAAGGTCTCCTGTGTGACCTCCTGTGGTCTGACCCTGACAAGGATGTCTTGGGCTGGGGTGAAAATGACAGAGGAGTGTCCTTCACTTTTGGTGCTGAAGTGGTTGCTAAGTTTCTCCATAAACATGATTTGGATCTCATATGTAGAGCTCATCAGGTATTGTCATTTTGTACTTTAAAACAGAGAATAGTTCAGGTTCAGGAGGACCTGGTCCAGCCCTGCACACACGTGCTCAGCCCGAGGTGCTGAGGGTCTTGTCCGGCCAAATTGTAAATATCTGTGAGGATCTCTGAATGTGTCCCAGTGTTTAACAGCCCTTGTAATGAACATTTTTCTTTAATGCATAAAAACTGTGACTCTTGAACAAGGGTTTTCTCAATGCTAATGGACTCTGTTGCCGAACTGGTTCTTGTGATGCTCCTGTTTTGCTGTAAAAGTTTGGAACTCATGCTCCTTAAACACATCCTCTGGTAAAGCTGCTTTGCACCTTGGCAGGAAGAATCTGCCCAGACTAACACTTCTGCTTTTCTCTCTAAAGGTTGTTGAAGACGGATACGAGTTTTTTGCAAAAAGGCAGTTGGTAACTCTCTTTTCTGCCCCAAATTACTGTGGAGAATTTGATAACGCGGGTGCCATGATGAGTGTGGATGAAACACTAATGTGCTCTTTCCAGGTACAGTAGCTAAACGTTTTTACCTCCTAGTTAGTGAGGTCACATGTTAAATTTGTGGAATTTTGCATCAATGCTTTATTGTTAAAAAATAATAATAGTTCCAAATAAGTCTTTACAGCTATCACATGTAGACAGGGCAGTGTTTGCAGTCACGTCTTCAAAAATGTGATAAGCCTGTGCTGGTGTGATTAGATGAACTGTTTTACCCTGGAATTAAATCACCCAGGCAAAGCTGTTGGCTGTCAGCCTGGTCCTACTAGTGTGGGCTCTGGGATCAGCTGCTCCAAGCCCTGGCCTAGCTCAGAGCAGGAAAGAGAGGGAATTCTGGGCACGTTTAGGCTTGGCCAGAAGACCCATATAACACCTTTGAGTGAATTACTGAATTTGGAAATTTGACTGGAAAACAGCTAAAACCTTTTGCTAAATGACCCCACTGTCTTTTCAGATCTTGAAACCTGCAGAGAAGAAGAAGCCCAATTCCAGCAGACCCGTAACACCTCCCAGGGGTATGATCACAAAACAAGCCAAGAAATAGTCACTTGGCTCTGCCTTGTTGGGACTTGTATCATAGTCTATAACCTCCATTTTTAAACCTGTCATGTTGTGCTGTTCAGCTTGCTCAAAATAGGTAACGTGTTTGTGGTTTTCCTTTTCCATTTGATGAATGGCATTTGCTGGTTGTAACAGCGAATGAAAGACTTTTGTCCCTCCCAGGAAGAGTTTCAAAGTCCCCTTTTTGTCGGTGTTACAGCAGCACAGCTCCACAGCATCCCCTGCCAGCCGGGTAAGGCACGGCTGCTGGGACTGTACCATGAGTAGTGTAAATCTTGTTCTTTAGGATCTAAAGAGGGCACTCGTGTGCTGTGAGAGTAGAGATTTGTTCCTGTCAGCGATTACATACTGTTTATACAAACCACTGTGAACTTTTTTTTTACGTTAAATTTTGTTTTAAAGGGATTGCTTTTCTTTTACTGTCTTGTCTCTAGTTTTTATTGCTGTTGACATTAGGAATAACCTTCAACCTTGCCAGCATCACTGGTAGGATGTATATTTAATTCAGACACACGATCTTCTCCTTATACTTCAAATGACAATTAAAGCCATTATTTTAAGTGTTTGTGTCTCTTTCCTGAAGCCAAAGTTTGCTTAGAAACCCGTTTGTACACGACCCCCCCGCTGAGTTGGCCGGGCTTCCCATCCATACCTTCCTCTCAGAGAGAAAAGGAAGTCCTGGCTGGAAATAGCACATAAACACTTGTCCATGCTCAGAGTGAACACATTTGTACAGTTTCCTTGTGTTCCATGGAGCAGATCATAGTGCTGAGACAGCAGTCCCAGGGCAGGGACAGAAATGGCTCTGGGAGTGACAAAAATGGCTCAGGATCTGCTGGAAGGGGTTTGTGCATTTCAGCCTAAAGACTTTGTTCTACAAAGAAACCCAGAAACTCTAAGCCAACCAGGTGTTACTCTTGATCACCAGTTTATATAAATCTCTCACAGAATCTTGTTTTTTAAAAGCTGTTGATCTTTTTTGAACAGATGACAGTGTACAATACCATGTAGTGAAAATCACTTATTAAATGATGAAATTGTTAAATCTTCTCCGTGTTGGTTTATCACAACCTAGGCCCTGCTCTCCAAGGGCCTGACTTAGAGAAATAAATTGTTCTGGAAACCCACGGATTCTCGGTTTGGATTTGTCCGAGCTGCAAGAGGGGGGATTTTAAACAGCAGTGTTGGGTTTAGCTCTGGGTCCCCCCCCAGGGGGTGCAGCTCCCCCAGTGACACGTGTTGGTGACAGCGGTGTGAGAGCTGGTGTTGTCACAGCCCATGCTCACAGCACCGCACACGGGCGTGGGAGGCCACGCTGGGCTCGTGTTCATTGTTGTGTGCACTGAGCAGGGCTGGGCTTGAACACAAGTGCTGCTCTGAGAGGAGGGGTAGAGCTGAGGGCAAGATCATTTTCCTCTGGTTTGTAATTAGAGAACTGAGTTCTTGGTGAAATGGGGAACTTGGGTAAACTTTATCAGTGCTGGTGTGGGCCGGCTGCCACGGGTGAGTTTGTGTTGCTGGGTGAGGTGTGTGCCCAGAACAGCCTGGGTCCCTTGTGGCCCTGTGGAAAATGCTGTGGGATGTTCAGCACTCAGAGGAGGCGGCTTGTTCACAACAACAACTGCAGTGCTGCTGCATCCCCTGAGGAACAAGTTTGTCGCGGAATGCCCCGCTTGCATCCCCCGCTGGCTCTGTCCTGCTGTCCCACCCAGTTCCCCTCCACGTTCGGAGTGAGTGGGACTCTCTTGATACAAATACATTTTCTGGCCAGACCCCAGCCACCGATTTTATTTTTTAATGTATTTCTCTGAATCAGAGCTGTTTTCCTGCTCTGAAGACCTTTTACCCCTCCCTCTACAGCTAATTAATCAAAAACCTCTTGCTAAGCACGATGAGCTCCTTTTATCACGTGTCACAGATCACCTGTTAAGAGTTTCTCACAGACTTTCACCTTTTAAATCACACTTGTGGTTTCCTTTGGGGCTCTGTAATTTTTCTCCCTCCTTGTACAATGTCCTGTAGTCTGTTGCTGCTGTAGTGAGTTGGGCTGTGCCTGGTCGCCCCTCACTCCCCTGCACTGGCTGTGTCACACCTTTGTCCTCCGTGATTTGTTTTCTCTCCTCAAAGGCAGTTTCGGTGACACAGGTGCCAATTCTGGGCTGTGTTCTCTGCCCAGCTGCATTCCCTGGGGGTGGGTCATGCACCTCGAGCTTCCTGGGGTGCAGGTGGAGGTGGATGGGTCCTGTCCCACTGCAGGGCTGGGAAGGGAAGGAGCTGCTGGTCCCACTGCAGGTTCTGATTGACAGCTCAGAGGCGTGTTTTATGCCCATTTGTTGGGGGTGGGTTGTTTAATCAGTGGAGGGACAGAAGGAGGAGTAGATGCTGATTCCTGATTTTTTTTCCATAACAATACAGGTAGCTGGAACTTGTGACAAACCCAAGTTCTCCTCAGTCCCTGTCTTGTGCTCTGGAAAGAGTGGTAAGATCTGAGGCACTCCCTTGCTTTGGGTATCACTCAGTGACACGTCTCTAATTTCTTCAAAATAAAGAGTGTCCCCATTGCCATCCAGCTGTGGAAAGGCTTTTTTTCCACACAGGTCACCATTGCCTGTTCCTGGTTTGCTTTGGGATGTGTCAGGGCTGTTGTGGCTTTCAGCTTGGAGTCAAGTCAGGCTGGAGCACTTCAACAACAAAACATCCATTTTCCTTGCAGTGTTCAGATGTTCAGACCTGTTCAGGTCTCCGGGGACACGGGGTGGAGGGGTTGGGCACATGTCCCTCATAGGGAAGCAGAAGCTGGTGGGGTTTTCTCCTTAAAATCCACAGTCCTTACCCAGACGGGGGTCAGATCTGCAGAGCTCTCAGGTGCAGATCTTCCACCATTGGCTGATTGTGTTGGTGTTTATTGGACTCAGCTGAGACCAAAATGCCCAAATTAGCTGGAAAGCCCCAGGACAAACCTCCCTGCTGCGGCTCCAGGGCTGTGCCTTTGCTGTCCCACTCCTCTGCTCAGCTCTGTAAGTGGGTGTTCTGGGGGGAGGCTTGAGGGATGGGGCATTTGGAGTTCCAGGAGGGTGTTACCTGTGTTCATTCCCCAGGGAGAAGGATGGGGATGGGCCTGTGCACTCTGGGATGAGGTGCTAGAAAATACTTAGGTTCCAGGAAAAGTTTTAGGTGTTCTCTGGGAGGAAACCCTTCCCAAAAGGGTCTTGGGGCTCCTAAAAGTGCAAAACTGGAAAGATGTTTATTACTTAGAGAAAATCAGAAATATTTATGATTTGTTGTAGCAGAGATGCCTCAGAGGTGGGTTCCTGGTGCTTTTCACAGCTGATGGTTTTTTCAGGACACTTCCAAAACAGCTTGTTTTTGGAAGCCAGAGGGGAACCCTAAACATGAAGAGGCCTCTGACCAAACAGGAGCCTATAAATGGAGGCAGATTAAACCAGGCCTGATACCTGGGTTTTATATTCATCTAATCCCTGGACCTCCACCAACTTTGTGGGACTGATCTGTGTCCCTGCTCAGCAGCCGCGCTCTGAGCTCGGCAGAGACTCAGGATTTAACTTCCCACCGTCCTGGATCTTTGCTCGCTGTGTCGGGCAGGGAAAAAAAAAAAAAGTTTAAAAACAGTGGAGAAAAAAAAAAGTTTAAACTCCATCCGGCGGCGTCTCCTGTTCCGGCAGCTCCCGAGCGGGGAAAAAAGAAAAGCTGCGGAAAGGGGAAATGTCGGACGGGACCGCCGGGGACGGATGGGGGGGACGCTGTGGATGGATGAGGGGACTCTGAGGATGGACGGCGGACCCGAGGATGGATGGGGGGACCCT